ACGAAACTCGCCTTTGGCTCGTTTCGTATCCCGGTTAATGCTCGTGTATTAATAACCATCATTACATGATCGTTGCATAATATACTATATTGCAACATATTTTGAATTTGATTTATTTAAATAAAATCTTTTTTCACCCACCGATCTCTTGATAGGATTTAAGGAGTTAACTGATTCCATGTTCGCAGAGTACTGTCGGAGTCTAAGAGCTTCTCACTATTTATTGGCCGTTTTAGTGGTGGGGGAAATGTTTGATTTCTCCCAACTTTAGCATGTCTCCCCTCTACCAAAGAATGTATATGTATTTTAAAAATATTGCATCAGAATAAATTACACCATGTGTTTGCCAGTATATCATTATTATAATTTACATGCCACGTATGGACACCAGATGTTGTCATGTGTTCGCCAGATGGCCGGGTGCAGGTGTTCGCGTGAGAACCGGATGTCTTTATCTTTCCCAGAGATATTAAATTACATGCCAGATGGTCAACATGTGTTTGCCAGTATATCGTTATCATTATAATTTACATGCCACGTATGGACACCAGATGTTGCCATGTGTTCGCCAGATGGCCGGGTGCAGGTGTTCGCGTGAGAACAGGATGTCTTTATCTTTCCCAGAGATATTAAATTACATATTATAACAGGATGCAGGTGTTTGCCAGTATATCGTTATCATTATAATTTACATGCCACGTATGGACACCAGATGTTGCCATGTGTTCGCCAGATGGCCGGGTGCAGGTGTTCGCGTGAGAACCGGATGTCTTTATCTTTCCCAGAGATATTAAATTACATATTATAACAGGATGCAGGTGTTCACCAGATGGTTTCCTCATTTTGCCTTCTCATAGGGTGTGCACATTTTGCCTTCTCATAGGGTTTGCACATTTTGCCTTCTCATAGGGTTTGCACATTTTGCCTTCTCATTTAACCTCTACTGTCGCAATAATAAATATGACATTTACCTGTTTGCCTATGATGTCCTTATCTATGTTTCTTGTAAGTTGTAAGGATTCAGATAACTTAGTAAGAGTTAATTGTCAATGAAACTCTGCAAAATGTTTATAAATAATGTTGAAATCATTTGTTAAAAATCAACACAAATACCTAAAACAAAATATAAGCTGATAAGTAATAACTATATGCAGTTTGTGGACAAACAATATAGGAAATTGAAAGAAAATCTATACAGTTAGTAGAAAAATTCAAATATGTAAGGGTAATTATTCGGAAACAGATGAAATTCACAGACCATATGCAAAGACTGTTATCAAAACAATTGCAGCTAAATTACATTTCCTATTTAGAATGTTATTAAAATAATTGTTATATTATTACATTATTTTTTACTAAATTTGAATATTGTGATATTAGCAAACTAGCCAAATAAAGAAAATAAAAATAAAATAAAAACCAAAAACATACCTGGATCTACAATAATATAATATATAAATAATATAAGTACATTGCATCTCTTAAATTATTAAAGTCCATTAAATTGAAAAGACACGTCAAACCATAAACGTCAAACTTTCAAAACAAACATGCTTGTGTTGTGTTCCAAACAGAAAATACCATTTATAGAATAATTTATTTACTTGCAGCCTTTCCCCGCACACCACCTCGCCCCTCACCCAGAAACATGGTCAAATTGGGCTAAGCCATTTTACATTCGTCTGCATAGGGAGCGATGTTGCAATTTTTCAATTTTAGTGTCTATTCCGTCTGTTCAGATGGCAGCATCTTATGGGCCCTACATTTTTAAATCTTATCACAAGAATCCTGAAATAATTAGGCAAAAATAAAAGAATGTATTTTGCGTTTTAACTTTTAAATACTATAAAAAATGATGGAAAGTCCATAACTTTTAAATATTTGTTAAATATCACTTATTAAAATATTATGCATTAAAAGTAAAACAAACCATGGACTTTCCATCATTCTTTACCAATTTTTGAACCCATTTATGAAAACAGTTTTTGAAAATATTATCGTTCAGAGCTGTATTTCTTGTGATAAAAAAGTCGCCGTCACTTGTCATTGAATTTGGCCTTAAGAAAATTGATCAACTCCTTTTAGATTAGCACGTTCATTCATAATTTTTTACTAGAAACTTAAATATTTTGCTTATTGCTATACACCATTTTTCTTAGCGAATTTACCATTTTCATAAATTTAAAGTGTAAAAGTCAATGGCTAATTTATGATCTGTACTAACTACCTTATAATTAATAATAATAATACTAATATATTATAATTAATATTAATAGTAATAATAAATTATTAACAAACTTAAAATCTGGTCCTATCAAAAAGTATTGATCATCTGTGACACATTTTTGTTGCATTTTTAGTTTTCCACGTGATGAAAATGAAAGAAGAGAATAGGCCAAGATTAAAAACAAGGATGACTGGAATCCTGGAAAAAAACAGTTTTTTATGTTCCATTTTACATAAAATAACTTTAATAGATCTTTCTCTCTTGTTGTTATACTGCTGCCAAATACTGTACACTTTACCTACGATTCAAGTGACTCTGATAAAATATGTAAGTATTTGTTTACAATTATATGTATTTGTATTGATAAAATTGGACAGTCTATGTAATACTTTTAAGCTGCCTTTAGTCTTGAAAAGTAATAAATACCTAAATCAGATAATAAAATATTTTACTATACGCACAAGTACCTACAGACTTGTTTCTTTTATCTAAGCTACAGACACACTATTATAGCGTGTGTTAAGAACTTATTTTAATCAGAAAAAAGTTTTTGACACCTATCTATTAGTGGAAAAAGTAAAATAGATTGTTTTATACTTCTTAGGTAAGAACCTACAACACTTCGATTGAACAGGAAACAACTACCTGTGTGAAGCTTCTTTAGCTCTTCCTGGACCTTTTCTTTGTCAATAATGTTGTACATACATATATAATCAGAAGAGAACCCTCCTGATTACTCTCGTAAAAAGAAGCTCAAAGAACACGAATCCAAAACTTAAAAGCACAGAATCAAGTCGAGAATATTAAATTAAGGAAATAACATCAAACCGTATGGAGACAACGGAAAGTCATCAAATCTTTAGAAAGAATAATGCTAGAACTCAAGAATAAAATTTGATAATGGAGTAAGAAAATGTTTTGGAAAATTTTGAAAATGATAAAGAAATAGTTGAACGACTATTTAGAAAAACCTTGGGCAAGACTATATCAAAGACATTCCAACAAATTTGAGATCTTTTGCAATTACACTACATTTTATTTCCATTAATCCAATATCATCAAACTAAATAATTGACTAGGTAAACATTTGATAAATCATTAAAAATAATGTTGTTAAATTGTAAAAATCCTGAAATATAATTATCCACTTTTAAAAAGAATGTTTTACTGAATTTTTAATCTAATAAAATTATTATTTTTTTTTTCCAATTTGATGTCATCCGCATCGACTACTAAGGCCATTAGCCTCGTGTTCTGTGTAGGCTTTGTTACTGTTTCCGAGCGCCACTTTAGGAAGAGCACTGTTAATTAGCCTTTTTCCTGGGAAGATTTACAAAAGATCCGCTAGGGGCAGCACCGGTGGGGGGGTACATATGTTTTGAATTATCTATTGACAACTACGTCAAACGTACGTTTTATTTTTATCAGAAAAAATTAATATTGTGAAAAAAAAATTAAAAACAAATTTTCATGCCTACAAAACATTGTGCGTTTGCTAATTGTACGTCTGACAGTCGTTACAAGCAAGATGGTGTAAAATTTGTGCCTTTTATAAAACCACAAGTTGACAAAAAAAAGTGATTGGAGTGGATACATTTATCACGAAGGGCAGATTTAACAGTTGAAAAAATAAAAAAACATACTTTTATTTGTACAAGACATTTTAATAATTCAAATGGACCAACAATAGAAAACCCAAATCTATTGCCAGCGACAGTTTCAAAGGTTAGTAATTGTTTATTTAAAGAGGTTATATTTTATATCAGTCTACATATAGGACCAGTAGTAATATACATTATAGCATAGCAAAAAGAACGACGGATAGCTTTGAATGGAAAATTTGCCGAGTTTGTAGTAGGAAAAGTGCAGGATGTTGAACTTGGAGTTGAATTGAGTAATTTCATGCGTTGTTGTTTATCCGTTAGACATTTACCTCCATCAATTCCAATGAAAATTTTTTTAACATTACCATTTGCAATGCATTCTTAATTCTTACATATATAAACAAAAACAACATATTTTATTTTAAATTATAAAATTTTCAACATTACAATGACATACGAGAAAATTTATAAACCAACTAACCTTTCAACTAGGACATTTTTATTACCTGATACGGTTAAGCCACGACATGCAAGCCATCGTTTTAATTCCCGGACAAGATGATCTTGCACTTTTACAAATTTCAATTTCGCTCCAGGTACATCATCTTCCGTTAATTCCATTATAAATCTATACGTTTGATATTGTTGTCAATAAAGAATTCATAACATATGTACCCCCCACCGGTGCTGCCTCTAGCGGATCTTTTTTAAATCTTCCCAGGCAAAAGGCTAATTAGAACCCAACAGTGAATGGTCGAGTGGAGAATCCTACCAAGGCATATTATTATTATTACTTTCGAATAATATAAATACGATAAACCACTGGTAAATACTAATGTCAAGTAGCCATCTTGGATAACCATCCCGATTAACTGACCTTCGCGTAACCATCTATCTTTACTACTTTATATTCTAAGGTCGCATGTATCTCTAGTCTTCATAGTCGCATACCAGTCTAACAAAAAAGAAGACAAGAATACCATAATATGGTAAAATTTGTTTAAATTTGCTCACAAATAAGCTGCAAACATGAAGAAAACATTTCAAAAATCATGTTCATAATGTAAAAGATCACACACACACACACACACACACATCTGTGACGCAATTAATTTTACCTAGCAAGAGGGTCCTATCTCTAATTATCTAAAAATCTTATATGACAAATATCAAATCTGGCATGTAAGAAAGTCAAAAATTTGAAACTTTTCAAGTTCATAAAAAATGTATAAAATGTGTTGGTCCAAAATACTAAACATAGTGATTTATTTATGTTCTATCTTGGTACCAATTGAAGCCTTTGCGACTGTATCCTTTGGTCAGACCCGGATTATCGGAGGCCACAGATGTGATAAGTCTAACACTAAATTTATGATAGCTTTAACCGGTTACACAGGAAATCATATTTGTGGAGGTAGTTTACTAAATTCATACTGGGTATTATCTGCTGCCCACTGTGAAGGTGATCATATTCAATTCTATGCCATTGACGCTCACACAAGAGGTAATTTTTTCAATTAGTCTAATTTTTGCAAGGTATTAAAGAATCAAAATTGAGTATTATTAAAGAACATTCAGGACATTAACTATTGAATCATACCAATATAAAATATGAATATAAAATTTTAATAGTTTGTAACTAGGTCTTGTTATATTATAACAGCCTTCACTTGAAGTTAAAATAACAATCCAGAACCGTCTTGTAAACTTTAGATAGAAAAGAATCTTAGGTGTGAGTCCGGTAATTTACCTGTCTGTTGTGATGGGCTAAGGTGACAATTCCCGGTATGAGTTGCATCTTAATTAGTAATTTTCAGCTGAGTTTAGAAATTGTGGTCTATTCATTCAATTACTTACTTCACGTTGCGAAGTTATATTAATTTATGTATAGATATGAAGTAAATGGAGTCTTATTACATAGCTCAACTTTTAGAAAAGGGGCCTGCTTCAAAGGGACCAAGACATAATAGGCGTAGTACAGATTAGGCTAGTTACCGATAAACTCCGTGGTGCTGCTAGTGACTACCGGTTTAGTGTGTACAAGCATATCAGCCGGTGGTTTGAAGCGGGCCACTGAGGACTGCGGATTGTTGGGTAACAGATTAACACATGTTTAACTTTACCAGTCACCAGCAAATCACGTGATGATACCAGTGTTTCAATTGCGTGCGTAAACAGGACAAACATGTAGTTAAGGGAGATATATTAAGATGTTATTAATGAGCAATAATAATCCATAGGAAACTTTACCATTTACAAACTACTTAAGCAAACTTTCGGCGTGCAGATATCACTGGAAGCCAAAGAAATAATCAGAAAGTTAAAAATCTTATGTCTTGTATGACCCGTGAAATGTACCAATAAATCCACATAATTTAAATTTTGTTGCCAGATGTCTACTTTTATTTTCCCATTCCCATTAATCATATCTCTGTGTATAGGTATTGTAACGATTATTTATTTAAAAATAGTTTATTTAAAACAGTTAACTTATAGTACTAATTATTTTATTTATATTTAAGCACTATTGTAATTATATCTTTATCTATCGACAAAGTCGCTTTATTTATAAAAAAATTAACAATCTAGAAAAATCCAATCCTGACTAGAAGCTCCATGATAGTCTAAAAGTCTAGAAGACCCTCAAAATCCGTGTACAGAGCAAATATTCTAGTCGGTTTCTCGAGGCAAGCGGCAGCTCATGGACACACATAGTCTTTGAAGATCAACGTAAAACAGAGCCGAACCGGCCGAAAACGGCTTCGCACGACACTATTGTAGGAAGAATTAAACCGAAAAATAATGAGGTGTCCGTTCTTTAGTTGAATAATTCTGGACAATGCATGAAGTGATGTGGCAGCTTATTAAAATTTATTGATAACATAATTTTAAATTTTTGTAATTGTTGATATGAATTTTAAATAATTAGCTGCCTATAATAAAAATCTGACTTGTCCAACACATGACTTTCCTGTCCAGGCTTTTTCCGGTTATTTCTACAACCTATTATATCACCCTGTAAATGTTTAGAGGTGAACTAAATATATACATTTTTTTAAATAGTATATTCATTGTCAACATTTTTCCATTACGGTCCATTTTCAAGAAATTATTTATAAAACAGAAATTATAGAAATCGATATCGCAAACAACTTTTAGTTTAACAATTTTCTTGAGAACTAGAATTTTGCACTTTTTGTCAAATTGCTCTAATACGGACCATTTTAAGAAAATTATGTATATGCCAAAAATTACAGAAAATAACAGTACAAGCAACTTTTATTTGAAGAGTTTTCTTCTCCAAGCGTAAATAACAAATATATATTCCATAAGGTAGAAAAACGACTTTCTATAAAGTACCCCCAGATTTTCCGACTATGCCCAAAAATTAATCATTTTACGCACTATGGATTGAAGCCTTAATGTAAAATTTTGTATTTCTCTATTTAACCGTTTTTGAGTTTCCATCAAAATTCGAAATTTACACGTTTTCTCAAATATCTCAAAAACGGTCTATTTTAGAGAAATTATGTATGGAACAAGAATTATAGAATATGATATCACAAACCAATTTTATTCGAATAATTTTCTTAAAAATTTGAATTTTTTTCATTTTGTCACATTTTTCAAAGGCGGACCATTTTAGGAAAATTATAGAAAATAAAGTAACTTTTATTTGAAAAAATTTCTTCTGCAAACGTAAATATAAAAATGAGCCCTTATAAAGTATCCCCCCAGATGTTCCGACCTAAAATCTAATCAGTTAACCGCAGAGCGGAAGAAAGCTGAAGTTTAAAATTTAGTGTTTTTCTCCGTATCCGTTTATGAGTTGACAAGTACACGCACGCACGCATGCACGCACGAAGGCACGCACGAAGGCACACATACACACACACACACACACACACACACACACACACATACATATACACACACATACACACATACATATACACACACATACACACATACACACATACACACATACACACATACACACATACACACATACACACATACACACATACACACATACACACATACACACATACACACATACACACATACACACATACACACATACACACATACACACATACACACATACACACACACACACACACACACACACACACACACACACACACACACACGCACACACGCACACACGCACACACGCACACACGCACACACGCACACACGCACACACGCACGCACGCACGCACACGCGCACACGCACGCACTCGCGCACGCACCTGCACGCACAGGCACGCACGCACATGCACGCATACACACCCACGCACGCACATGTACACGCACTCACACGCTCACGCACGCGCACGCACGCACATACACACACTAGATAACTCATGAACGGATACTAAGAAAAATACAAAATTTTAAACTTAAGCTTGTAACATGTGATGTTGGTTTTACTTACCGTGTTTTAGCTCAATTTTAATTAGGGCCGTGAGTAGCACTTAATAACCTTGACAAAACTTAACTATAGGAAAGGGAAGGAGGGCGCCGCTAAACTTACATAAACATATCATTTAAGGTGAATTATAATAGTTTGGCAAATATAATTAATATGACTGATGTTAAAACAAGAATGTATATATGTTTAATATGTTTATTCAGGCAAGTAACAATTACAATCTACACAAGCCATGATTCATTTAAATTACTTCTTTATTTAATTTTCAATGATAAAAAAATAAAACTTATCTCAGAGTAGGAATGGTGTTAGGTCTTCAATCTTTCTTTGAGGGTCGGTCAAATAAGGACGGTCTCCTACAACGATGCGTTTTCTTCTAACCATAAATTAACATGTTTGTTACCATAACTTCATATATCTTCTAACCATAAATTAACATATTTGTAACCATAACTTCAACTATCTTCTCAGCGTATTTTAAACCATATTTTCAATTATCTTCTCAGTGTATGTTTAAACCATCCAAAGGTTGACTTATCATAAAATACTGATGGTTGTCACCACTAATAAAAATACCACATACTGTTTAAGATTAATTAAATATTAGCAGATTTAATAATCTCGACTGCCTCGTTCTGAGGTATTGTTGTAAAAAGACTTTTACCAGTAATACCTGTCGAAAGTCAAATTCACTTTCGATCCGAACATACAACTTATAAAACCAAAAATAACTATATAAAATATTTGTAGCGACAGAATGAAACTAATGATCCTAATAGAGATGGGACAATCATTTTAAAAATATAGTTATAAAATATTAAAATAACGGAACTAGAAGAGTAACCGTTACAAGCTTTATTCCACCCTGATGAACCAAATATTATTCTCTATAAATCTTGTTCTATACATAATTTCTCAATAAACCGTATTCGAGATATTTGATAAAAATTACAAATTTCGAATTTTGAAGACAATTTAAAAACGGAATAAGAGAAAAACACTAAATTTTAAATGTAAGCTTTAATCCATCCTGCGGTGAACTTATTAAAAAGTTAAAAATTCTAATTTTTAAGAAAATAGCTCATATATACATATAAGTTAGATATCTCTATAATTTTTTTTGTTTATATATGATTTCTCTAAAATGGACCGTAATGAAAAAATTTGAGGAAAAATATAATATGTTAATTTTTCAATATTTTAGTTGGTAATGAGTATTTACAGGGGTGATACAATAGGTTGTTTAAAATAACCGGAAGAAGCCTGTAATAACTAGACAGGAAAGTCATGTGTTGGACACATCAGATATTTATGTGATGGTATTCTCTTGCTTTATATTTTATTATAAAGACCTCAAAAAAGTGCCCCTAGAAGGTCTAAACAAAAATACCGTATGTTATCAAATACCTGAGATATCTACGGGAGTTTGTCAAAAATGCACCATTTTGGTTTTTCCTGATTATTTTGAAAATCAAAAACAATGATAAATTTTAATAGCAGTTCTAAAATGTTAATAGAATGCTCAGGAACATTCCCATTTAACTGATTGTGTAGCTCTTCTAATAACAGAGATAGCAATCCATGCAACACCAATCTAGCACACAGTGTATATTTTCTTAATAATTTTTAAAAAAGGCTTCATTGTATTATTTATGTGATGGAGTAATGTGCTCTAACTACAACCAAAGATAAAATGCCACCTTCCTAAGTAGGAGAAAATGATCTATCATTATTACGTTGTATATTTGTTAAAATTTAATCCTTTACAAGATCTATGTTTGTATTTAATAAGAGTTATTTAAAGTCGCTAAACTCTGGTTGGACGATTCTAATAGATAGAATCAGAAGTGAAAGAACAGATCATCCACCGTTTAATTAAAAAAAATGATGCTTAATCTTATAATTGTTAGTTTAAATCTGATTTAACTTTAATTTAACTTTTTAGATGATTGGGTAAAAGCAGGTGGACTCTTGAAATATTTTGCACCTGTCAGTAAAGTAATCCAGATAATTTGCCATTCAAATTATAATCGTAATTCAGTTTATAACGACATAGCCTTAATGAAGTTAAACAAGCCATTATATGAAAGTAATTACATTCAATTCGTTAAGCTTCCATCTGTTGAACATCCTGGAGATGTACCAGAATTCTGTCCAAGAGCTGTGATTATGGGATGGGGTACAACAAATCGAAATAGTTTCAAGATTCCTATGTGGTTGCAGTGTGCCAAAGTATCCACGATTACATTTGCTGAATGCAAAAGAGTAATTCCAATAACTGAAAATGCTATGTGTACTTCAGTTAATGATAAACAGGATACTTGTAACGGTGATTCTGGAGGACCACTTATGTGCGGTAATATTCAGTACGGTATAACTTCGTGGGGTGTAGAATGTGCCACGATATACCCTGCTGTTTATACTAGAGTTGACAAATACTTAGATTTTATCCGTTATAGTATGAAAAATACACAAACAAACAAAAGTAACTCAAAATTTTTTATTATATTAAGTTTATTCGTATGTAAACAATTTGACTACAATAATACCATTTAAATTATGAGTACCTAATTATTTATTTATCGGTTAACTACATTCTTTTGACGTTTTCCTGCTTTCAATTTCCATAGTATATATCTGCCATCTAAGATTATCTTCTGCTTTTTCCTGTTGTCCAGAGTGTGCCTTTTCATCGAAACTGCCATGTTTGTCTCACCCTTTCCACCTCTACACCGGTTGCGCCGTCTGACTCTCCTAATCGCACCGGCTAGCTTAATTTGCTTAATTTTTTCCTCTGGAAAATCTTCGGTAAATTTTTCATAAAAGGACTGACAAAATAAAAAAATAATAAAGGAACTGTTTATTTTGAAACCAGCATAACAGGTATTGTGACAGGTTTCTGGTTTATCTACAGTGAATCAGCGAGTCTGTGTGGCGCTATGATGGTGATTCCCGAATTGGGGTTGGTCAGGCGCCAGTTTTGGTATCGCAGTTTGCTCTGCGACCCTGTAGTACACCAGAGTGTACTCAAGGTAAACTCAGTGGAGGTAAAAATAATTCCAGGCGGTCACTGCTAGTGTCATAGGGTCCCGTACCGTCGATCCAATTCTTACCCGTGTTGCAGCTCCGCAACGATACCCTATGTGTATGGACACCATACAAGTACCCCAATTAACCGAATCCGCAAACACTCATTTTTGCAATCACACATAGAGTCACTCTTACGTCGACACAAGTACTTGTGATTTTACATCTGGCATTTCGTACTCGAAAGCCAGTAAAGTTATTTTAATTTTTAATATTAAATTGTTACTAAATAATCAATCACGAAGTAATCCTAAATCTTCCTAAAGTTCGGAGACTAGTTACTCTTTCTCATGGGAACAACTTCGAACATTCAAATTTCCGTATTTCATTTATACCCGAATGAAATACCTACATACGCAGAAATATATCAAACATCACAAAAATCCAAATTAATTCGCGTGTCCAAACTATATCTTATTAATATTTCACATCCACGTACAACTCTTCTAACTTTCTAAAAAGTACTTTATCCTCTAATCAATTTTTCATCCTAAAAAGACATAGTTTAAATTTCAAATATACAGCCGTTGCAAATTTCAAACGATTTCAAAGAGCTTTAGCCAATTACGTAATTGTTTTACCTATGGGCGGAGCCAGGAATTAGACATAAATATAAGCGTTTCCCGTAAAAACAGCAGTAGATCTTTAACTTTTCTTGTGTATAGTTTTCTCGCCGCGAATATAGTGCAAATTCATTTTCTGTGCCGGTCCAGTGCACCAATTAGCCAAAAAGGATTACTTCAAGTTTTAAAATCATCACCCACGATTGTCTGAGTCGATCAACATAAGGGTTTACTAAGGAAAGAGGATTCTAGCAGAGTGGTTGAGAAATAAGCCGCTATTTGCGCATTCTCCTCGACTCTCTGCGATCCTCCTGCTTTTAACGCCCCTCCGTGGGATAATTACACTGGGTGAGTCTGTTCTAATTACGTGGAAGACGAGTAGTACATCGTTTCCCATTTAAAAGTGATAGGGCTGTCTCCATTCAATTTCCCTCCATTTTCCCTCCCGCTTGCCGGCATTTTTAGGCGCGGAACCTGTAACGGATTTTCTTCTTTTCGCAGGTCGGACTGTCAAGGGTCGCAGCCATTTATTTATAGTGTCATTTGTCAATAATATTGTTGGTTGGTAAAAACTTCCGGCTTTGTTTGTTTTCATTTCGAGCTTTTCTTTCTCTGGCGAACGACCTTGACCTTGTTTGTTTATTTATTTTACAGCCATTTGGGAGACGCCTCGTTTAGTAACAGGGCTCATTTCTTTTTATTTAATTAATTCTTTATATCATATCCTAGTGATTGTCGGTTACTTGCTAATCGACATTTCCCTTCCCCTATCGAACCCGCTTTACTGAGGGAAGCTTTTATTATTATTTTCTTTCTATTATTTCTTTATTTATTTATTTTTAAATAAATTCATTGGTTTAGAATCTTTAACGTCACTTAGTTAAAACTTTAAAGTCATTTAAATTCATTTTAACGTATTACAAAAATGCAACACACAAATTCAGATAATTTCACCGCTGACCTTAGAAGGGCATTTCCTTCAGGGCACGGTACACGGGGCGAGTTCTATGGCTTTTCCCCGGTTACTCCCGCCCCAGAGCAAAATGCCACCTTGTGGAGACAGCTGAACTCGGCTATAAATTTAAATGATTTTCAAAATAATGACACTACCCAACGGTTTGCCAAATCCCCGCCGTCTGGGCCCGAACCTACCCTGAGAGTACCCAATTCGTTTGAATTGGGGCTCCAATCACTATATACCCCCATCGAGCGTCGGCCTACACACGGCAAATGTAGGTCAGGGGGAAGTTTCCCCGGTGAGGTGCTTCACAGTGTTGGTAATTTCGAGGAGTTCGCTACGCTCTCCTAATTATCTACCAGTACGGCCATATCTCCCTCACGACCCCTTCTTAGTGAAAGAGCGGGGTCAGGGCAAAACGACCTTCACCCGAGCGAGACCCGACGACACTATAGGTAGCCACTATACTAGAATAAATAAAATATCGCGACGAATTGAGAACCTCCTCCTTTTTTAAAGTCGGTTAAAAAATAAAACACTTATCTCCTTTACACTTCGTACCCTACGGTACCCTGAAAGAGAACTGTTAAGAACCAGCAATAAGAGAAAAACAGGAATAGGTAATAAAATATATATTTACAAAAAAAATACAACGATGGTAGTGGACGGTTCTGGCACGGCTGTAAATGAAAAATTAAATAAAATGAATGATTACAATTGAATGAGCTTAAAGAGAAATAATTAAAATTAAAGTATTACAATTGAAAAACTAGTCAAATATTAACGGCTCCCTGTATTCGGAAAATTTATTAAAAATAATTTATTACAATTGAAAATTAGTTAAATATTAACGGCTCCCTGCATTCGGAAAATTTATTAAAAATAAATTATTACCAATGAAAACTAATTAAATATTAACGGCTCCTTGAATTCGGAAAATGTATTAAAAATAAATTATTACCAATGAAAACTAATTAAATATTAATGACTCCCTGTATTCGGAAAATGTATTAAAAATAAATTATTACACTTGAAAACTAATTAAATATCGGTTTGAAGTCTCTCTTATTTAGACATCTGGTGGTCTATAGCTTCTACAAGAGAGAAACCCTTTCCACGAGCTGTTATAAAGACTAGGGACTGAAACAGCTCTGATTAACGATGGAGGGAAGCAAGCGAATACCGCTATCACCCCCTGGTTAACGCGAAAAATATTACCTTTTACTAGTACGGAAAAATATTTAAATCGGAAATTATGTACTACCCGGTATTTTTAATCAAACGGTTAACCAACTGAAAAGTTCGTAAAAATAAAAGAAAACGGGTAGTTACGACACTCCCTGTATACGGAAAATGAAGTTTACTATTACCACAGTTAACCCACCTACAATGTAAGTTCAGAAAAAAAAAACCTACTATAAAATGGAACAAAGTTTTTGGAACCCCTTGTATCTTGGTCTCGAGCGATCGGCAGTGGCAATTTTCGTCGAGTGGGAATGGTATAAATTTGCGCGGTTTTTGGACAGCGAAGGCGATTGTGATAGAAAAGATTATTTTGAGATTTGCCCAAAGTCGATCAAAACGGTGTGTGAATTAATTTTATAAAAAACGTCAGGCTTCGTTCAATAATTAGTTGATTCAAATATAATTGAATGAATAAATAAAAGAAAAGAGAAACTTACATGAAAAATACTGGACGCTTCTTATAAAAAATTGCCAACGGTTTCCCACTAAGGGATGTAATGAAAAATGCTAGGCATGAATCAAAATTCTTTCACTTGTCGGACGGGTGTCCCAAACTAATTGTAAATAAAAAAAAATAATATGCGGTTTCCTACCTTAGGAAAATAAACGGAGTTGTTTAATATTCTTTCGATAGTAGTATTTCGATATAGTATTTCACTCGACAGTGGGGGATACCACCACTACAGCCGACTGTTTACAATTTAAAAATTAAAAAATGTCCTTTTAGTACCTTGACAAATAAAAGTAGATAATTGGTACGAAATAGACTCTATAAAATGCCTATTCGGATTTCGGCAAATATAGGAATATTTTAACCTACGAGGGTACTCGCAATTGTTGAAAAACGGTAATTCCTGGGAAATAGAAAATTTTCTACATGTCCTCAGGCGGGAATTAATTGAAATATACATTTTTAAATTAATTGAGAGCAAAATTTAGTGACTTCGTCACAGTATACAGATAGGAAAGTAAAAATGTGATCGTGTCATGTAGGCTTGAGTAAATAAAAATAAGTGGTGTGTGAAAACTTATTTCTTTTAATCTGACAACTTTAATGCTCTGTGAATCTTAACCAAACATTTTTAATAAATTTTAATCTAAAAACTTTCTCTTGGAAATATTAAATCTTTGATACTGAATATAAAAGTGTTTGTAAATGGGATCACAATGTTTTTAATTTCAATAAAACACCATCTGTAAAACACTTTAAAAATTATTCAATAAGGCATATAAAAATCTAAAACCAGCTACATCTTGATTGAACCTTTATAGCCAGATTACCTGGTTTTAAATTTTTTTGATGAAATTATTTTGTGATTACCTGTGTTAAAGCAATTTTTCAGACTCTTGTGAATGTCACACTCTGATTATGCCTCATGTGACAATATTTCCCACTCGAGTGTGAAATATCATTTTCTAATTTCGTAATGTAATATACTATACATATATAATATTTTTTCTACTATTACTGTACAAACTAGGCTTTAACGCTTCGAAATCCAACCGCAAAGTTGACGTTTTCCGCGAACTGACATTAAGGGAAAACTTGGTCGCTCGCCGAGCGACAAAGTTGACAGCTTGGTTTCTCTTAATTTAAACTAGTTATAATATATAAATAAGCCATAAATAAGACGTCTTTAAGATGTCTTATTAATGGCCTATAATGGTCTTACGAAGCTTTAAATAAGCCATAAATAAGACGTCTTT